GAAAAGAAGTGGGAGACAAATGAAAGGAAGTGGGAGACAAGCCAGCCACAAGCCCTAGATACAAATGAAAAGAACTGGGAGACAATTGAAAAGAAGTGGGAGACAAATGAAAAGAAGTGGCAGACAAATGAAAGCAAGTGGGAGACAAGCCAGCCGGGAACCCGACCACAAGCACCCAGCCTGGGAGACAAATGAAAAGAACTGAGAGACAAATGAAAAGAACTGGGAGACAATTGAAAAGAACTGGGAGACAATTGAAAAGAAGTGGGACAAATGAAAAGAAGTGGGAGACAAATGAAAGGAAGTGGGAGACAAGCCAGCCGGGAACCCGACCACAAGTACCCAGCCTGGGAGACAAATGAAAAGAACTGGGAGACAAGTGAAAAGAAGTGGGAGAACAAATGAGACAAGCCGGCCACCCGCCCAGACCATCCAGCACCAAGGTGACCATTCTTTAAAGCGTTGAGAACCCCTAACAGTAAACTGTTTGGGGAAAAAACATATTATGAAAGAACGCGAAAAGCGAACCAACGTGAAAGCCGCTCGAAGTGCTCACGTGAAAACGGAACAGTCTTTTCTTTTGGGCGTTGCCTGTCATGTCGTGACTCAAGGGGCCCCTGCATAGGAGCAGGATTCGAAAAGTAGCAGCGGCGGTATGCCAAAAGCTGCATGCACAAGAACTCATGTTCAAGCGACCCGGTTTTGTGGCACGAAATCCACACCGGTGGTTGTTCTAGAACAGAGCTGGTGGTATGTCAACGCGCCACCTCTCAAGGGCCTTTTGGCCATCACAGTATGCACAGCAATCCCACTGCTTCATTTGCGAGTGGTCTGCTGAAGACAAAGCTTGGCACTCAGGGGTCGTGTGAAAGGACTTTCCGCTCTTAGTGGTGAAGAGCGTCCGGGGCAGCCACTCTCGAGCAAGATCATCTTGGACTGCTGCCAGGCGGTTGTGCACATCAATCCAATTGTTTCTAGCTTTTCTGAACTCACCTTCAACCTCCTGCAGCTCGCACTGCATGTAGCGCTTGGTGTCGATCAGCTGCTCGATCTCTTCCTCTTGGGCAGAGCATTGAGCCTGTAAGTCAAATAGTTCAGCTTCTTGATCTCGAACGATCTCCTGAAGCCGGAGGTTTTCGGACATCAAGATCTTGAGATCAGTCTCTGGCTCCTTCTCTGTCTGCGTGCCCATTGCCATAGAGCTCGTGGATGTCATAGTCCACGTGGTTCTGGTAATCGAGGAGCACCAGGAAGTAGAGCTACAGCAGCGAAAGAACTGCCAAAGAAGCATGCCAAGTGCCATCGTGTAGAGGATCATGATCGCTTCCGGGCTCAGCATGAAGGTCAGGGTGTCCTCCATGGTCACAGCTTTCACCCCAATCATTTGTGAGGTGAGGACAGCGAATGCCAGGTGCTTGGAGTTGCCGGTCTTCGTGATGGCATGTCGTCGAGCACTGGCTTGTCTTTCAGCCATCGTTTTCTTCTTGGAGGCCTGGAAGCTCATGTCAGCTTGGAGGGAGATACGGTGTGACAGGCGATCGGCAAAGAGTTGCCGAGCTGAGGACTTGGTGACGCCATCAGCCAGTTGAGCCTCAGATGAGACCCACTTGAGGCGTGATTTCATACTCAACATTTTCGGCTTGGTCACCATCACCTCGATCGTGGTGCGTTTGTCACCTTGCAAGCTCGGTGTCTCGGCTTTGAGGGAGTCGTAGAGAGCCTTGGCGTCCACGACCAGTGCTGAAGCCATCTCTGGGGTGAAGTCGTCCACCTGCCTCAACTGGAAGTCGTGGCGTACGCAACCTTCCCAAAAGATCAGGAGGTATTCAAGGGCGTCCATCGCAGCTGAACATGCTTGACTCTCAGCATTGAGTGAAGACCTGCTCACCCGAGGTAGTTTGAAGCTGCGCCAATCCAAGATCGTGTAGTCTTGGGTCGAGCCGTCCTCCAAGATCTGCTGGTTGCAGAGGAACACCACATAGCCTCCTTGAGACTCACTGTTGCGGCGGACTCCCCACGCAGCATCGCTCATTGCAACCATACATAGTTTCTCCGTGTCACCACCAAGATCTCTGAAGGTCAGGGCCGCATCGCTGTTGGACTTTGCGAAGCGAAGGACCTTATTGGCCTGAGCTGCTGTGTCACCGGTGGCGGAAGTGACCTCGCCACATAGCAGGGAGACTGAAGCGCTCAAGTGAGGTGAAGTCTGAGTTGGTGGCCACTGCAAGGCGCCCAACAGGGCACGAAGACAGCTTTGCTCTTTGGTGCTGAGGTCGCGGTTGGCATCGTAGTCGGTGCAGGTCATGGGCTTGACGTTCTT